GCTCTTCGTTTCGCTGCATGCACTCCCGACTCCTGTGCAGGCGCTGGAGTTAAAATTCGACTACACGATACTATGGAGCTAGTTGACTCGCGCAGCTGATTTTGTCTGAGTTTAGAGGTCTCTTCCTTTAGTTGTTTTATTTCGTCCCACTGTTTCGCGTTTTCACGGGTGAGTCGCTCTAGCATTTTCTTAATATGGTTTAGCTCTTGACCTAGGGTGGACCCTTCTGCCACAACCTCAGGCAAACTCCCAGACCGGAGAGACTCCCCTGATACCTCGCCCACCCAGCTCACCATTTGTCGACTGCCCCGACCGCCGCCAGGATTCTCGTGGGACTGTCCTTAGGGTGATGTCGTTGCCCTTTTCTTGGATTTGGCCCGTGACCTGGATCTGTGTTGACGAGTAGACCTTGATCTGGATGTGGATCTGGGTTCGTGTTGAGTCCCTTCTCTTTCCCCTTCGGCGAGTCGCGGGAAGGAGCTGGAACGATCTCTGCGTCGTCCCCCTCTGTCCTAGGTGGCGCTGCCATTCTCCTCCGTTGGATTTTCTGGTGAATACTTTTCCCTCCATGCCTGTGTTGCTCTGGTGTTCGACAAAATCTTCATTTCTCTTCGTTCATCGCCTTGTTGTTGTTCCTTTTCCCACAATCTTTTCTTCAAAAGGTACGGGGTCCTAAACCGTTCTTTGCATTTTTTTGTCCCCTGTAAGATGACCTTTCCCGCAAAGGCTGCACCTAGGGACGCACTGGTGGTTTTCAGTTGGATTGAGCACCCCACAACCACGGCATTTTTTGCTGTCAGGCTGTGGGCAGACATCCGCCCGATCTCCAATTCGACCACAAGTAGTGCATGTTTCATATTGCTTCTTGTATAGGAAGCACCTATATTTGGCACCACGGTAGTATACAAAATACGGCACAAACAACCCTTCGAAAACAATGACCACTGAGTCCGTAAGTCCCATACATCGTGCATGTAGAATCGTCGGGTTCCTCTAATTGACCAAGCTTTTTTCTATGTCTTCTTGATTATCATACTTCGGTATTCCGTGGATAACCCCTTTGGATGTGTTTTCTGGTGCTGTTACATAAGCGACTGTAGCATAGCTCTTGTCATTGATCATAATTTCCTTGATGTTGCTGTATTACTTCGCATTGGCCAGACTAGGTGTGCTCATGATCATGGTATTTTGTCGCATGTTGATTCTGAGAGTATCTTCCCCAGCAATGTCAAGCTGTGCTTTTGCCACTCGTAGAACACAGTCTCTTATGAGCGCTAGACTCTGTCGCGTCAAGTCCAGACCTCCTCCTGGGCGTATTACACCCTTGTAATCGTCTCCTGGTAGTTGCGGTTTTTTTGGCACTGGCCGGCGATGCAAAAAATCCTTCAGTCTCCGAGACGCCTCCATGGACGCACCTCCCGCGTTCGTGGCTGGTTCCGCGTTTCTCTTGTCTTTTGCCTTCTTGCGTCGTTCATGGGCCACAACCCATCCTTGAGTGTCATTGTACTCTTCGGGAGACAGCGCCTACCCCTCAATTTCCACAACATCCATTTCGCAGGCTTCGAACAAGCCGGGGGCCTGGCTTGTCGCCTAGTTGCCAGCGCGTCGATGGCACCGCGTCGGCACTGCGATGGCGTAGCTAGGGCGACGCCATTGTGGGAACTTAAAAGAAGTGTCACGGCTCAAAAAAAAGTAGGACCACCTGGTACATCCTGGCATCGGACGAATCGGGTGATCGTCTGGCGACAGCTGTGATGGTCTTGAATCCCGTGGTTGTCTTTATTCAGCCGCGAAAGTAAAAAACTGGCAGAGCGCATTCGAGAGGCGTCCGAGTGGCTCAGCCCCCTAGCGACAGACCCTTCGTACACATGAAATTGTTTTTCTCTCCTACCCCCGGTAACTGCGTTTGGAAATGAGCATGGCAGCGTCCATGCAGAAGCGACCACCTGCTTCCATCTGAACTTGCTCTTGCTACACGCCCAGCGCGCTGACAGCAACAAATGAATGGCGAAATCCGTCATGGATTTGTTTCATCTTACTCTGAGGGTAAAACATCAGGTACGTGCTGTCGTTATTAACGAGATATGGTGCTTACTTAGCCCCCTCCCCCACCCACTGTGCTAAGACTAACGCGCCAACGCAGGGCTTGGGCTGCGTCGCCAGACTGAGAACGCTGCATCTTCAAACATCGGACATGCAACAAGGCACAGCGTTTCGTGCGCGTCGGATTATCCTTCGATGAAAACAAAAAACGAACAGTGAAAAATTGGCATATCCCACGTACAGTGGCAATCGATGATATGCGAAGCACGAATGAGAAATGTTATGTCACTTTAATTACAGCACAACGTTACGAAGTGAAGGTAAATGATGCCGTACATGACTTCCGTGTCATGATTATCATGTTTGGATGTGTCGTTTGCCTTCTTCATCAAGTCACGTCACGTGATACCAAATTTAGTATATGTGGAGCTAGCGAAACGGCCGCGAGCACGCTATGAGCGTGGTACGTTATCAAGTTCCTACATAACACGCATGTCAGGATTATCATGTTGGCAACGGTTATATATTTCGTCATCCATTGATGTCGCGTAACACAAAACTTGGTATACGTGGAGCTAGCACAACGGCCGCGAGCGCATTATGAAGGGCCCAATATAATCCAATGTAGCGTTGACGCGCGCGCACGCTGGGCACAGCGAAGCTACGTTAGCAAAACGCGACCAGCGTCCGTCGGCGCGGCCCGAGGGCAACCGGTGCGAGATGCGACGTGCTGCACTTCGCGCCGATGCGTTACCCAAACAACATTGCGTCTTCCTTTTTCCGTGACGGAGGGACGCCGGACGCGCTGAAACACGCATGCGTCAAAGCAACGCAGTGCGGCGCGCCTGTGAGTACATGGCAGGACCGGCGCCTGGCGTGGCAATGCCGGCGTGACGCGAGGAAATGAACGCCGGCGAGCAGTCGCACGGCGTCACGTCGAAATATATTGGCTCCTTGACTGTGGCATGTAGTCATGTTCTCACATGACACGCATCTCATGATTATCATGTGTGCGCCAGTCACATACCTTCGTCATTCATTGGCGTCACGTAATACCAAATTTGGCATATGTGAAGCTAGCGAAACGGCCGCGAAAGCACCATCAGTTTAGCATGTAGTCATGTTGTTACATGACACGCATGTAGTGATTATCATGTTTGGATGTGTCATCTATGTCATCCGTTCATGTACTGTAATACCAAATTCGGTATATGTGACACAAGCGAAACGGCCGCGAGCGCATCATGAGCGTGGCATGTAGTCATGTTGTTACAGGACACGCATGTCATCATTTATATGTTAGGGTCTGTCGCGTGTGTTCGCCATGGTATCATGCCATACCATACCAGTTTTACATTCGAAGTCGCGGAAGTTGGCTAAGAAATGCTTCGCATTTAAAGAACCATTGCAGCGGGACACGGGAAGAAACGCTTCGAGGGAGAAGCAGTTAGACGAGATCCATGATAAGCGTCAGAGAGAAACGGGCACAAAGTGAAGTTATCCGCCGGCATGAGCACCTACCGATCTTCAGCATGCAGAGCAACAAATCCACGCTTCAAGTTCCTGGCATGACTGTTGCTTTCACAGTTTTACTGTATTTTTAAGTTATTAAATCAGTCTTATCTTTCATTCGGCGAGCAGATGTTGTGAAGACGGTGAGCAGACGAAATGGCGCGAATGAATACATGTGGAGAGGCTAATCGTTCTTTCTATTTGCTGAGGAGCCCTGTAGCCTCCACTGTGCTGATGGGTGGTGCGCCAAGGCGTCTTGGATCGCCAGCGACACGAAGCAGACGCATCGTGAACCACGGTGCCGTATGGCCAATGTCTCGCATAATTTCGAATTTGGACCTGTGTGGCACCCCGTGCTTTGACGCAATGCAGCCTGCGTTTGACGTTCTTAAACTCTTCTGATCCTGTGAACACAAGAGAAGCCTACGCAACGAAGCTTGGGTACCCAGTGTCTTGGGCCCCCAATTCTCAAACTCTCTACTATCTGGGGTTTCAGGTCCCAAAACAAAGATTACGAAAGATGCCATAGTGGAGGGCTCCAGAAATTTTGAGCATCTGGTGTTCTTTAATAGATCCACAACGTACTCGGCACATTTGTTGAGGATTTATTGTATAATTCGTAACTATGTATTTTTACTCAGCGCAATTGCATACCGAGAGGCTCTTGCTGAACTAGGTCGTTCGTCCCATAATTAGTTAACAAACGAGATTGCACACGTGTGACCTTTAGATTGCTGCAACGGCAGTGACATTTCGTAAATGAGTCACATTTCCGCTGCTAAGATGCTCCATGTTTCGATGACACTTGATTTCGAGCTAAACGTTCATTTTAGAGTCAATTTTTTACAGCCACCGCCCCTCCCCCTTCGGCCGCCCCTTCTAACCACGCGGGAGGCACTCTGAAGCGCAGTGCCCAGAGGCAGGTTTCACACCTGCAGCGCCAGTTGTCACGCGATAATAGAGAGCAATAGCAAGCTTCGACATGGGCCGGCTGAGCGGAGCCACCACAGCGACGGCACCACAAGGGCCCTAAATGTATCAACGGCGCTCACGGCACCTACCGCTGTTTGCGCTGGATGACCCCAGAAAACTAATAGCCGCCGCCCAAAGTTGCCGACACGCAGCCAATCTCTGCGATAGTGTGAAACTTTACCACCATTTTAGTCCTGGAAAAACCCCATGCTCTCGTTGACCGGTAATCTTGAAGTAAACATAACCTGCAAGTGAAACGGGTGAAAATCCCACGTGACATTCTCCGAGGAGGATGACGTCTTCGTAGTTTACATACCACAATACCTATTATAATGACATCATGACCTGTACGACATTCGCTTGTTCAAAAGTGGATAGCTGAGGCTCTTTGAGGTGCAAAAAGGGAGGAACAGTGCCTGTGTCAAATTGTATGCAGCAGGTTAATTCTACAAACAATTTAGTAAGCAACATACCTCGGCCAGGGCGAACTCGTAGTCATGCACATCTGTGGCCACAGCCGCAGCAGCAACGTCCTGCGCGCCCATCAGCGTCAGGCAGCGCCGTATGTAGGCGGCGTGCGCGGCCAGCAACGCGTCGTCGGCCGCGTGCAGCAAGGGTTCAGCCAGGTCGACGCTCAGCAAATTGGCGTGCGCGTCTCTAGGGTCCGGCTCGACGCGCAGCGACACGACTAAGGGCAGCGCATAGTCGACGCTGAGCCTCTGCAGCAAGAAGCGAGCGCGTGGCAGCCGCTCGCCCAACTCGTACGGCCACTCGCTCAGCGACAGGCTACGCATGAAAAGCGTCAGCGGCCGCAGCGCCTCCTGTTGGCGGCTATGCACGTCGTGGCAGCTGTAGAAGAGCCGCATCGCCGTCGTCTCGTCACTCAGCCGCTGCTCCAGCGGCCCCTTGCGGAGAGTCGCTGAAAAGCCACATCTATCTATCTATCTGTCTATCTGTCTATCTGTCTGTCTGTCTGTCTGTCTGTCTGTCTGTCTGTCTGTCTGTAAAGTTTCTCAGAAAAATGCCTAGAGGCATGGAGGAGAAAAACTTAGGAGAAGGCATGCTCAGCCGGCGCGCTACGTGAAAAGTGTGGAGGAAATGACATCATGGCGACCATATTCACTGGGCACAATGGCGGTGTTGCTATGGTTACGTGTTGCGTAGTGTAGCTGGTCTAGCAGTGAGCGGCCGCGGCTGCTGGTGGCATGTGTGCCTTCGCAAGTCTTGTGCTGAGCCAGGGCGAACAATATCCGTGTTCTGCGCCGCATTATTGGTTGCACAGTTTTGTCCTGGCAGTTACTGTACTTTTAGCAACGTTTACAAAACCTTTAGTCCACCATGGGGCCTGAGCAGTGCGTAGAACGAGCGCATATACATGTGTCGTGTGGCGGATGATGCGATGAAGCATTTGAAGTGTTCAGCGAAATTGCGTTGGGCACCATGACGAAGCGGAACGACGACGAACCCATTGCAGGTCAGTGACGGTTGGGCAGTGCTCCTGCTTGTGGCAACGGACGAAAGTGTTGTGCCCTCAATGAGGACCATGTGCACGTACGTAGTTTCGTGTTCGGAATGTGTACAGTTTCATCTTGCATACGCGTAATAAAACACATTTTCTGTTCCGCTTGGTATACTCGCCCCCAGCATTGTAATCTCAACGTTCGATCGAGATGTCTGTACAGTTGCTGAATTAATGACGTGAAAACACTCGCCGTTGTCAGTGCATCTAGCGCGCGTTCCCCTGTACTTCCTTCGATGTCGGTGAGCTGTTACTCGGTGCTAATAGTCGGATGAAATGATTTCGCCTAAGGTGTCGCGCTGGCACAAAGTGCTGAGTTTCGTTTCATTAGTTTCGGATTATCACGGCACGTGCGCTGCGTAGACCACGTGCTTTCTTAGCCGGAGAGGGAGTCGTGCCTTCTGCTTTACATTCGGATGTGAACAAGAGTGGAGAATTTGCCCAGTCAGTATGGCTAACTTCCGGGTTCACAACGAGTGACGTCAGCGCCTCTCCTAGGTTTTTTTTCTTTCCTCCATGCCTAGAGGGAATTGTGGTGCCACTGTCGATGCGAATTTCTCTAGGGGCCCCGTTCGAGCACCGGGAATGACTGTATAAGTGCGTGCGAGGCTTGTGTTAACTGGCGTTGAGGGAGGCTTCAGCTCAAAAGTGAATACTTCTGCGTAAATAAAGCTTCTCTAAAACAAAACAATTATAAGCAGATCTTATCTACGCGTATTATATTCCAAAATGAAAGTCCACTCCACTTGATGACACTACCAAATGGCGAAAGAAACAGAACGACATAAAGTGACAAAGCAAACGCTAGCTTTGTCATCTGCCGGCCAAGTTTAGCGGCCGTTGGTTACTTCTAACGCGTCGTAAAATTTTACATCGACGCAGAAGGTTCTAGTGTTAAATAAAACACATTTCTATGCAATGACAATAAATAGTTTCTTACGTGTTGTGTTAGTAACAAGTCAACAATTTTAACGTGAAGCCAGACGGGCCTTCGAGATATACAAATCCGAGTCAAGTTTGAAGCTCACATATCCCGGCATTCCCTTGCATCCAGCAGCTCACTCGCGCCAAATTTCCCTCTATGTAACTTTGTTATCTATCTATCTATCTATCTATCTATCTATCTATCTATCTATCTATTTATCTATCTATTAATCTATCTATCGCCCCTTGCTTCACTTGCACACCTGCCAAGTTCGAAAATTCTGAATCGAGGAGATATCCGCAATCGGGTGGGGGGTGGGTGAAAAAAGGAAAAACAAATTCACAGCATACGCACGGAGTGAATTATGATGAGTGGGGCGAAGCGGCCTTCAGCCTGTCCGTCCATTCGTTCTTGCTTCCGTCCGTCCACGCGACCATCCGTGCGTTTGTTCGTGCGTCGATTCGTCCGCACGTCCTTCCATCCGTCCGTCCGCCTGCTAGTCTGTCTGGCCATCCGTTCGTGCGTCCGTCTGTGCGTCCGTCTGTGCGTCCATCTAGTGAACACTCCATGGATGGATGGATGGATGGATATGGCTGTACCCTTTAGATCGGGTGGTGGCTAGCGCCACCAAGCCGTAATATTTAATGAACCAAAAATTAGATTTATTTTTCCCCTAAATAGTGAGGTTGAGGATTCGTACTTTGCAGTGAAGGGTTTAATTTTCACTCGTGCCTTGACTTTAGCTACCAATCAGATAACCTCCTTTTAGTTATTTCTACCCGCTAAAAGTCTATTTTGCCCTCCCTGTCCCTAAACCCCAGTGCTTTGAAAAACTCTGCGCCATCATCCTAAACTATAGGGTGAAGCCCTTTGCAGAACATTATCAAGTGTTAGGCAGTTTCTTCTTCCTCTCCACACGCACTGCATACCGTGTCTACCCCTTTGTATTTGGCCGGATATGTCTTGGTTCGCAATACTCCCGTCCTGCCCTCAAATAGTAGAGAACTACCCCGAGTATTATTATAAATCCTTTCCTTGGCAATTTCCTGCTTAAAAAGTTCGATAGATCTCTAGGGCGGACTTCTTAATCATGCCAATTCTCCACATATCGGTCTCACCTTCCTTCAACTTTTTCTTAACCGATAATTCTTTTTGGCTTGGCCCCCTGCTGTTTTCCAAGTATTTACCAGTCAATTTCCTGGTTCGCCTCCTCCATTTTGTATCAACATTCTTCATGTACAAGTAGCTGAATACCATCCTAGCCCAACGCTCCTCCCCCATTTCTCTCAATCGCTTCTCAAATGTTATCTTGCTGCTAGCTTCCCTGCCCTCAAATGATGTCCATCCCATATCACCTTGTACTCCCTGATTTGGTATATTCCCGTGAGCTCCTAAGGCAAGCCTACTTATTCCACGTCTCTTAATTTCTAATCTTGCTTGAACTTCTAATCTCATGCACAAGACCACATTGCCGAACGTCAGAACTGGAACCATGACCCCTTTCCATATTCCTCTCACAACATCATACCTATTGTAATTCCACAGTGCCCTACTTTTCATCACTGCTGCATTCCTGTTACCTTTAGTCGTCACGTATATTTCGTGTTCCCTTAGGTACTCGGTCCCATTGCTCATCCATACGCCCAAATATTTGATTTATCTGTTTTCTCAAGCGTGATCGACTTCCTGTATTCTAAGCTCACTACCTTCATTGTCATTAAAAATCATGACTGCTGATTTTTCTATACTGAATCTGAAATCTAACCTATCTCCCTCATTACCGCATATGTCCACCAATCTCTGCGAATCTTCCTTCTTGTCGGCGATTAGCACTATATCATCTGCATACATCAATGCTGGTAGTGCCTGTTCAATGAGTTTTCCTTGTTTGACGAAAGAGAGGTTGAAGCCCAGTCCACTTCCCTCTAATTTGGCCTCTAATCCTTGTAGGTACACCATGAATAATAAGGGTGACAAGGGACCCCCCTGCCTAAGCCCCTGTTTTACCTCTGCAGGCTTGGATACCTGTTTTTGCCACTTTATAATTACCTTGTTACCTTTATAAATATCCTTTATAAAATTAGTGACTACATCTTCTACACCTAGTGTGTCCAGTATTCCCCACAATGCCTCTTGAACCACGCTATCGCACGCTCCCTTGATATCCAAAAATGCCAGCCACAGAGGCCTGTGTTCTTTTTCTGCTATTTCGATGCACTGCGTCAGTGAGAACAGATTGTCTTCCAACCTCCTGTGTTTCCGAAACCCACTCTGCAGTTCCCCCAGCACCCCCTCATCCTCTATCCATGCCTGCAGTCTTTCCTTTATAATCTGCATCGCCAGCCTGTAGACCACTGATGTCACTGTTATAGGACGGTAGTTGTTTATGTCAGCTTTGTCCCCCTTTCCTTTATAGATCATGCTCATCCTACTAAGTTTCCATCCATCAGGAACTTCTCCATCGATTATTGTTTTGCTCACTGCCTCTCTCAAAGCCTGCTTAGACTTTGGACCTAATGTCTTTATCAGCATAATTGGAATGCCATCTGGGCCTGTTGGTGTACTACTAGGAACCCTTTTCTCAGCCCTTTCGCACTCTTGTTGTGAAAATGGAGCCATTGCGCCACCTGATTCATCCTTGTCTATTGTGGTGCATAAAGTACTTCTTTGTTGAAATGTTTCTGTCACCCTTGTTCTTATATATTCAATAGCTTCGTCCCCTTCTAGCCTAGCACCTTCAGCAATAGTTATAAACCTCTGCTCTAGGCTCGTCCCATTTCTTAGGGAGTTTAGATGGTTCAAAAATTTCGCAGCTGCCTTTCTATCTTTTTATGTACTTCTGCCATCCATTGAGCTCCCTTTCTTCCAATCTTTTCATTGATCAGGAGGGATGCTTCCCTTCTAGAGCTTAGAAAGATTTCCCATTTTCTTTCAACATCATCTGTCGGTTAACCCCACCGCTTAGCATGCCTGTGTTCTCTAGAGGCTTCCTGACTATTTGCTATGGCTCTCTTAACTTCCTCATCCCACCAACTTTTGGGTTTGTGTCTTCTTTTCCGGGGTGACTTGTCATGTGCCTTAGCAAGCTCTAGCTCAAACAGTATAATTAGATTCGTGTATGTCCACACTGTTTTATTATCCCCAGTGATTACTTTCTCGATTTGTTTAGTGGCTATTTCAATTTGCCTTTCTAAATAGAAAATTTTCCTGTAGTTGCTCATCTTGTCTCCTTCCCACATTCACTGTTCTTCCAAAACTTAGCTTGATACGTTTGTGATCACTACCCAGACTTCTGGAGCCACCTTCATCTATGTGCATCCCCATAAGCTTATGATACATCCTATGTGACATCAGTGCGTAATCTATCGTCAACTGCAGCCTTCCTACCTCCCGTGTTATTTGCCCTTCACACTTCTCGGTACTGTTGCAAATGATCCAGTCAAGCCTTTCACACATATCCATGATCATTTTGTCT